CATGCGGTTGTAATAGCGTGGTGGTGATAGGGAGTGCCCCTTTTGTTCTCCTGGACATTGGCCGTTGAGCCGGGCTACTCATTGTGCCTTGTGTTGGTGTATTTCTCCATTCTAGGATAGCTTTCCATACGTCCTCATTGGCTTTGTAGCATTTTTTGAGGATGGTTTTCAAAATTTTCAATGCTGATTCTGCTTAACCATTCGATTGACTGTGATATGGATATGATGTTGAGTGGGTGATTTCCCATGTCTTTGTAAAATTCTCAAATTCTGACGACACAAATTGTGGCCCGTTGTCAGACATAATGACGTCTGGCCGTCCATGTCTGCTGAAATGTTGTTTTAGACAGCAAATCACGGTTTCGGATGTAGTGTCTGATAGTTCATCGAGCTCCCAAAAGTCTGAGAAGTAATCTACTGTCACAAGAAAGTTACGTTTGTTAAGACTGAATAAATCTACTCCAACTTTGCTCCATGGGTGACTTGGAATGTCGTGTGTGATGAGGGGTTCCCGGACTTAATGTCATTCGAACTCAAAACAGGCATCGCATTGCTGAATGTGGTCACGTATGTCTTGAGATATATTGGGCCAAAATAAAGAGTCTCGAGCCTTCCTCAATGATGATGCAATCCCAAGGTGACTCAGGCCTCAACGTGATTTCCTTTGAAAAGTATGCCGTTGTGGATGGTCAGTTGAAACCATCGCTCGTTGGGTTTGGGGTTTTGGTTGTTGGTCACCGCTGCGATATAGAAAGGGTCGTGGGGATTGCAGAAGTCCGACGGACGTTTCGCTTCATAAAATTTGTACATAAATACTGGACACCGCTCTAGCTCAGAAGGATTTGCATACATTCTGGGTGGACATGGCCGTGTGTTAGTAATATCCTCACCGGTACGGGTTTTAGTGACACGTTCATGGTATTCTAAGAACTGTGTGCTTTTGTCAGGGTCAAGCTTCAATTTCACATCCCCCCAACACATATTGCGATGTTCTTCGCTACCACCTCTCATACCGAAATGTAAGGTATTATTATACATTAAAGTATTTATTAAACTGTTCGGATTGCTGTTCCCTAACTGGCCAGTAGCAAACAACTTTTCAGTGTCATCGGGTTTTAAAGGATCAGCTTTTAGAGGCTTTGACCCTTTTCCTTTTGACTTAAGATGTTTTTGTTTGGCTCTCAAGGCATCTCTTGTGGTCGAAAATTCAACACAAGTTGGACACATAATTTGAAATCCGTATCGGTGCCTCTTAAGATGCCTGTCAAAACTACCGATCATTCCCCTGATAGAGCTAGGTTCGTACTCTTCGTCATTATTGGTCCTCACATTAACGATAAAATTGCTCAAATATTTGTCTAATTCTTTTGGTGGGATCGATTCAATGTTTCTCAATTCACTGTACCTGTTTCTCAGAAAATCCCGTAGCAGTTTCATGTGTGATAATGTTTTCCTTAATGTGTTTGAATTTTCATGGCCATGAATAAAATCGCTAACATCGTTGTTTTGAAATCTCTCAGTCTCAGCCATTTTGACTCTTAAGCAGACGATTGCGGGAGTTGTCTCCCTTTGTACAAAAGAAAAGTAGTCCCTCGAGCGAGGTCACCGATTGCAGTCATGTGGGATAATAACAACAGTTACTCAGCAAATACCAGCTCGGAAATTCTTCACATCAATACCACATATAAACAGTATAAAAAAATCACTTCCTGTAAAGCTAGTTTTTGTGCGTAGACACAGATTCGAGACTGCCCAAATAGTAATCTCCAACACAAAGCTAAAACGGTATTCTGAAAAAAAAAAGAAACCCCACATTGTCCACTTCAACATGAGGAGACAAATGTTAGCAAGGATTTATTTTTTAAAGTTCAAATAAAACCTTTATTATGCGGTGATGTGATGAACAAAAATACTGTGTACTGCTACATTAGTGCAAATGATGAAATGGTGAGCTTTTTGTTCACACCGACACATATGCAATGCGTAAAATCGTGAATTCTGCACGTGCAGTCACGGATGTTGCCAATACAAGTGATTTTTCACCGAGATTATTGTAGCCAGGCGCTTGGGATGTCATGTTAGCACCGTCACTAGGCTTGCTTGATGCTTCCAACATACAGGTTCTATTTCTGATCGTCCCCGGACAGGGAGATCAATGGTGACAACTCAGGCCCAAGATCGCTACATCCGGGTAACTCACCTTCGTAACCGGACCCAGTCTGCAACCAGAACAGCGTCTCCCGAGACCGTCCGGCGTCGCCTACGTGAGTACGGCATTAACTTATGTAGGGCCTATACTCACTCAGCGCCATCAACGTCTTCAATGGGCAAGGCATCATCAACGATGGCGTCTTGTTGACTGGTGACGAGTCCTCTTCTCAGACAAGCGTCGTTCCATCTGTCCCATGCTGATGGCCGATTTCGTATGTGGTGTTGGCGTAACGTTGTTGTGTCAGCCAAGCTAACAGATGGGGTAGCGGCAGCGTGTTGGTATGGGGATTCTTTAGTTACCACCATCGGACACCTCTTTACGTCTCAACGTGTAACAGGAGTGGTGTACAGGGATGACGTTCTCAGGCCTTACGTTGTTCCCTTGTTTGCTGCACAGTCACGATTTTACCAGCAGGACAACGCCCGTTTCCACACTGCTCGAGTACCTATAGAAAATAGAAACTGTTAATTTTATAGAATGAAAGAAAACCACATTTTATTTAATTGTAATTTCAACAAACTATTGAATTTATCAGTAAAACTTCAGTTCCTATTTTTTATTTCTTACAAATACGTATCTTAAGTTGGACTCAGTATAGCAGTATATATATCAAAATATAGATACTTTCAAAATATTTTCGCTGATGACCTTTAAGTGACTGAGGTCAAATGATTACCTCGAATAACAATTATGTTTTTTCTCTTTTTTATTTAATGTTGAGTGCCGTACATTGGTGTTTTGATGATTTGTTCGCAGACAAATACTTCAATTTATTCATGAAGGTAAATAATTAGTGTTAACAAAAGAACTGAATTTACGTTTACATATTGTGCACTTTCGTACAGAGCCGCAGTTAAAAAGATGATAAATCGATTACACTCAAAACATTGCGAGCCAATCAGCGGTGTTGTATGCGAAGTTAGTCCATTCCAAGTATGGTAATCCTACACAACTGTCTACGTAGTGATACCTCCGCGTTGAAAACAAGTAATTTGTGTTTCCTTGGTGTGAATACACGTCGTTTATAGCTCTTAATTATTGGAGAAAATTAGTGATATATACACCTATTTGCTAACGGATAGATAGGCAAACGAATGGTGTTTTCAAAATTTAAATCGGTTTCGTAATCAGTGAGCTACATGACATTTCCCTATAATTTTGTCAGTGCGGTTTCACTATTAGTTGAATAGAATTGTTCTAAATTCGTAATATACACGTTATTTTCATAAACACGCTATTGTATATACTGTACATTTTACTGTCGACCACTTGTTAGAAGAGTCTTGTACTCAAAGTGTTATCGACTCTTAAATAAAGTCATTTATTATTATTATTTACTTGGTTTCTTAATATATACATGTTCATTGTATATATGGTAATAAATGGTATTTGTGAATAATTTAGATTTAGAATGGGTAAATATCATAGACATGGAAGCACATTTATCGAATTCCTGCTATACTTAATCTCAATCCATAGTCTCCACCATTTTCGATTCGATTATCGAATTTAATTGCTTACAAATATCACATTCTAAGTATGGAATATGTTTTTTTTTTTGTTCCCCCCCCCCCCCTCCCAATTCATACGTCATCGTATCCACATGTGTGTTGTACTGTATTGTGATCATATATACGTGTACACAAGCGTACTTGACTTGACTCTACGCAAACATGTAGTTAATTCTGTGTTGTCTAGATATCAAACTAAAAAATAAAGAAATGGTGTGTATATATGGGGTGTGTTTGTGGGTGTGTGTGCGCTAGTAACAGCCACGGGCGAGAGAAAAAAAACCACACACACAAACAAACACACACAAACCAAACCACACACATAGGAGAATCGGATTTTATATATTTAAAATATAATTGCCGTGGTTGGAGCCCCGGACTCAGCCTTTCGCAATTAATGTGTTTGCCTCACACATCCATTTTATACATTCTTGGTTAAATTTATACTTTAGAAATTTGAGTCAGAACAACTTTATATTAAGGATAATTCTCTATCGTATAGACGACGACGATAGCTACCTTTGATCGTGCACTATACATATACGCACACAGGTATACACGACAACGTACCAGCGTGCACGGACAGTGAAAACGACTCCTACAACTGGGTAAATTGAAATATGTGGAAATTGGAATAATGCCAACTATTTTGAAAAAAAATTGTCTCAATTTCAGAGTATGATATTAAATTGTTTTCCCCAGTTTCCACATAAACATTACCATTATTTCATGTATGAAATGTTTGTTGGTTGAAAGTGGCAATTTTTAGCGTTAGTCGGTACACTACATTTCTGTATTTGAATTCAGATTTTACATGCGTAGTATTAACAAATAAACCGATACCGTGTCAGCTTGTTGGTGTATTAACTGTTGGTTTCACGTTTATATTATTTAAATTCATTCAGCTGATCATAAATGGGCGGGGCCGGGCGTGAGTGTGTACCTGTCGGGTGGATGACGGGGGACGGGGCGGTGATTTAGAGGTTGTAACAGGTATCAATTGTTTATAACGACAAAGTGTGTGATGTGAAGTAGTCCCGTGGGTTGGGGAGGTGGGGAGGTGCTTTTCCTTTCCTTTCGGGTAGGCAGTGGGTGTATTTGGAGGGAGGGGGTGGGGGTGGGAGGGTGTTGTTGGTTTGTTCGTTGGTCAATTATAAGAAGTTAGGATTAGTTCGTTTTGCGTAGTTTTCGAGGCGTAATTGGATGATTTTCGTGACATGTGGGTAGTCCTGAAAAGGACTGTTTACGTGTCGTTCGGACGGTGGAAGATATACATCCTACTTTTTTGCAGCCTTGGCTTTCTTAGGCTTGTCTGTCTTAGCTTTCTTCGGAGACTTGGTAGCCTTTTTCTTAGGGGTCTTGGGCTTGGTAGTTTTCTTGGCTGGTTTCTTCTCCGTGGTTTTCTTGGTAGCTGCTTTCTTTGGTGTCTTTGCCTTTGGTTTCTTAGCCGTCGCCGATGTAGTCGCTTTCTTCGCCGCCGGTTTCTTAGGTTTTGCTGCTTTCGGCTTGGTCACTTTCTTAGCGCCTGGTTTTTTGGCGGGTTTAGGTTTCTCTCCGAGCTTGAATGATCCAGCAGCTCCGGTTCCTTTCGACTGTTTCAGGGCTCCTTTCTTCACGCCGTTCCGAAGGGCGATCTTCAGATGTGCGTCGGTTCTCACTTTGAAGTTAGCCATGATGTATTTCAGTATTGCCTGGCGGGACGAGCCTCCACTTTCCTTCAGACTTCCCACTGCAGTGGCCACCATGTCGCTGTACTTTGGATGAGCTGCCGGGGTCTTTGGCTTCTTCACTGCTTTCTTCACTGGAGTCTTCTCTGCCATCTTCGGATTCGTCTGGATGTGCTTCTTCGAGAACTGCGCTACTCAGTGCTAGGTAAGCTGTATGCCCCGCCCTTTTTTTTTGAGCTTAACGTCCTTGTTCCGATTATAACCGAGCCTAGGACACTATGAGGGAGGGGGCTGGTAGGGCCGAAACATAAAGGTGTGCAATTCCGCTTTCTAGTAATCGTCAAACAGGTCTAACGTGGGGAGGACAGATCTGGCTATTTCTATACCCTAATGTCTAAGAAAAAAAAAGAGGGGGGAGGGGTTGGACTGTCACTTAAACACCTATTCCTACTTTAGTCTAACCCTATATTTACCTATTATAAACCTATACTCTGTGGCGGCTAGCAAGTAGCCTTCTCTTTTTCGAAAACCATCAGAGGATCTTTATCGTGCACGGCGTGACTCACCATACACCGGACCCCCGTTTAACGTCCCTTCCGAAGGACAAGAGGTTTAGAAGGTAGCGGGAGAGAGCATATGGGAAAGTAGGAAATTGGATAATAGGTTTAGCTTGTTAGCGGGTATAGGTTTGTTATTGGTAGACGGGGTTCTAGCCACCATTTGACTTAGCTAGTCATGATGTTCTAGAGTGGGTTTAAAAGTGGGGAACTGTGTTATTAAGTTCAGTTATGAGAGTGGATGTGATTTGGTGAGGAGAAGTATGTGCTGGAATTGGGTTAGCGTAGATTATTGGGATTAGTGAGAATTTATGTGAAATATGATACAATCAATGTCGTTCGGGAGACTGTAGATTACTGTGTATAATCGTCTACATGTCTACCCTACTAAAACAGGGATTTGTATATTAGAAGGTGAAAGGAAGAGGAGAAGAGTTTGTCGGATGTTGTTGGCTTAGGGACTCCGCCCAGTGTATGCTGTTTTTATGTGAGTGATGTTTTTGTGTATGCATGTGATGTTGTGTGTATGGTTACTTACAAAGAGATCCTACTGTATTTCTACAGCGCCCCGTGCTAAGGGCACGGTTTCTCTTGTTTGTGGCCATGGGGGATGTATGTGGTATGTTTGTGTTGTGTGGTAGTCCAGTTCTTCTGTAAAACCACATGTGATGTTGCGTGTATGGTTACTTACAAAGAGATCCTACTGTATTTCTACAGCGCCCCGTGCTAAGGGCACGGTTTCTCTTGTTTGTGACCATGGGGGATGTATGTGGTATGTTTGTGTTGTGTGGTAGTCCAGTTCTTCTGTAAAACCACATGTGATGTTGCGTGTATGGTTACTTACAAAGAGATCCTACTGTATTTCTACAGCGCCCCGTGCTAAGGGCACGGTTTCTCTTGTTTGTGGCCATGTTGTTGTTTTGTTTTGTATTTTTTTATCGCTGTCCTAGATTTTATCAATATAATAAATATCAGTCAGATAGGAGGTTAATTGGTCGAATACATGTTTCCTATGTTGTTAAGGAGGGTTGAGTACCGTTTTAGAATCGAAGTTCATATTGTCTATATGCTCAGTTTGATTTGGGAAAACTGTTCTAACGTTGTCATGGGTGGTACATTCGAACAGTATGTGTTCTATGGTTTCCGGTTCACCACAGTTTGGACAATATGGACTGACTTCCTTTTTAATACGGTTGATGCTATAACCGAGTTTGGTGTAGCCTAATCGAAGTCTGGTGATAACAGTATCCTCTACTTTATTATAACTATATAACTGAGGTTGGATCTTAACATTGCTCTCGATGGAATAGAGCCAGTTATTAGTTAATTTCGACCAATTTTCCTGCCTTATCAATTGAGTTTTGTTATTGATTATATTGACGACCTCTGAGACACTCCAGTCAATATTTAGATGAACATTGTGCAACCCTAAGGCTTCCTTAGCGAGTTGATCGGCTATTTCATTGCCTAAAATGCCTACATGAGCTGGATTCCACTCAAATTTTAGATCTATTCCTAATTGGTCGATCTCAGTGATCATATATTGAATGGCATTACGTAATTTTGGTCTACTACTATTACCAGTTATTAAGGATTGCAGAGAGCTGAGGGAGTCCGAAAGAATGGCTACTCGATCAAAATTTGTGTGGTTTTTCTTGATACCTATCAATGCAATTTGAATAGCCATGAGTTCTGCTGTGTAGACCGAAGCTCCATCACTTAGTCGAAGTGATTTTCTGATGTTATAAGTATCGTTAAAGATATCCGACCCTTCTCTATCATTGGATGGATTTTTGGAGCCGTCGGTATAAATTTTGACGAAGTTGTTATATTTATTATCTATCAACTCTAATGCTAGGTTTTTTGCGCCTATCGGGTCGTGATGTTTATCTAACGACTTATGTGGTACTAGCGATACGTTGGGTGGTGTTTTTAACCACGGGACTTCGAAATCTTGTTTGTGGGAGATCTTGACACCTTCTAAGACATATTTCTGCTTTAATCTAAGTATTTCTGAAGGATAGAGAGCCCTGGTGTTAGATATAGGTATGTCACTATTTTTGTATTTCTTTGTTTAGTAAAAACCTATCCCCATGATTTTGAGTTCTAGCCCAGTATTTTAGTGTAAGATTTTCTCGCCTAAGAGCAAATGTTTTTTTCGCCGGCCTCTGCAAATAGACTATAGTTGTTGGTGTTTTTGATGGCCCTTAGCGCTACCCTTAAGGCTGTGTGTTGTATTATGTCTAGATGCTTCAATACTGTGTCGCTAGCTGTGTTATATATCTGGCATCAGTAATCTAACCTTGATCTAACTAAGGCCTTGTATAACATTAATTGGGTTGTTTTATTGGCGCCAAATTTACAACCTGACATGAACCTCATGGTGTTAATTGCCTTTTGGCGCGATTCCTTAACATACTGAACATGCTTACTCCAAGTGAGTTTGTGTTCTATCATACCTAAATACCTAACATGCTTTTCAAATTTTAATTGGGTTTGGCCTCGGTATAATTCTGGTAGTGTTCTATTTCTAGAGAAGGACATAGCTACAGTTTTGTGTTTAGATGGTTTGAATCCCCACTTGTTAGCCCACTTATTGATAGCTGTAAGATGTTTCTGTATATGTTTTGTTAAATATCTAATATTTTCCCCTGTACTCCAAATACACCCATCATCTGCAAATTGCGCTAACCTGGTGTTATTGTTTAGCGTATCTGACAGAGTGTTGATGTAGATATTGAATAGTGTTGGAGAAATTACGCTGTATTGTGCTACACCATTGTCTATTTCCAATTAGTCCGAAAGAGTGTTGTGAATCCTAACCTGAATTTTGCGATTTTTCAGGAAACTGCTGATGTATTTGAAGATGTTTCCTGTGATGCCGAATTTTTGAAGTGTAACCAGAAGTCCGTCATGCCAAATAAGATCGTAGGTTTTTCTAGATCTTAGAAGACAGCTTATGTATTTTGTTTAAGGTTAAAACCCTTTTTGATGTCTGATGTGAGCCTAAGTAGTGGGTCTAGTGTAGATCTACCCTTACGGAACCCGCTCTGTTCCTCGTTTATGATACCTGATCTTTCTAGTGAGTGTACTAGCCTATTGTTTACCATAGGTTCCATAACCTTACATAGGTGTGAGGTTAGAGCTATGGGCCTATATGATGCAAGTTCTTGTGGATTTTTACCTGGTTTTAGTATAGGTATAACAATGGCATTTTTCCAAGATTCAGGTATTATACCCGTGTCTCATATGTGGTTGTAGAAATGTATTATGATGTCTGTGAGGTTGTCTGGACAGTGTTTAAGTATGTTGTATGAAATGTTGTCATCACCCGGGGACGTGTTTTTCTTGTTCTGTAGTGCCTGTTTGTATTCTGTGATTGTGAATGGGCAGTTGAGATCACCGGTGTTGGGGCCTGGATCGTTGATTTCATTATCGATGGTGAGCTGATTGTGAACTTTATTTAGTTTGAATTCAGGGGTCAAATTGTCGTTACCACTAGCGTTTTGATATTGTCTAGCTAGAGTATCTGCCTTTTCCTTATCGGTAATGCTGTTCTTACCTAGTATAGGGATTTCTGATCTACTTATCCCCTAGATAGCTTTGACCTTTGACCAAACGTTTTTCAAATGAGTTTATTATTTAAAGATGTGCAAAACTCTTCCCAGTGATTGTTTCAGGCGTTTTGAATGATGTTATTGAAATTTGTTTTGCATCTTGTATACTCTGATTTTAATAGTTCACTATTTTTATTTGCCCTCCATTTCTTTTCGCTGTTCTTTTTGAGTTTTTTGACTAACCTGCACTCATCGTTCCACCATGTGCTATTTTTCCTAGTTTTGGTTTCCCTGAAGTTTTTGGGATAGATGCTGACGCTATATGTAAAATCGTCCTAGTTAATTTGTCGTTAAAAACGTCAACATCTCGATCGAAAATTTCCTCATGTTGGATTACCTCTGTTAGAATTTTTTCGAATCAGCCTTATTAAAAACCCATCGTGGTGGGTACTGAATTGTATTTACATGAGGCTTAAAATCAAACTGTGCCGATATTGGGAAATGGTCGGAACCTAGAATGCTGTCGAGGGTGTTCCAGTAGCTACATTTACTAGCTAAGTTTGGTGACGCTAGGGTGATATCTAGATGGGATTCGATACCCCGTGCTACATCTATTCTAGTGGGATTACCCTCATTTAGTACGGTTAGACCAGTCTCGTCTGCCGATTTGTGTATTGTTTCTCCCCGGGAATTGTTTTTGTTACTTCCCCACAGTGTATGGTGTCCATTAAAATTCCCGGTTACTATGGTGTTATCAGTGTCTGTGTTTTCTATCAGACTTACCAGGGAATTAAATGGGATGGGTTTTGTGGGGGAGAGGTATATACTGAGTATTACTGTTTTGTTTGTTTTGTTGTGTATTTCTATTCCTGAACCACAAGATCTTGATCTTTAATTTCATACTCTTTGTATGCAATTCCGCATTTTATATATATTGCCAAACCTTGGCCCAAATCACATCGACATGGGAGATTATAACCATTAGTTTTTGAACTTTTGTGTTTGAGCATTGTTTCCTGAATACATAGTATATCGGGAG